CAGCCCCTGCCTGGTCACAGCCCAGCAGGAAGCATCCGAGCCTGGGTAAGAAACGATGCAGAGTGTGGGTCAGCGTGTGCCCTGGGGTAAGAAACTGAAATGTAGGTCTTCCCTACAGGGGACCATGTTCATGATTCATTACTGATCGCTCACTACTGTTTCATCCTATGCCAATGCATGGCAATCTCTCCGTGAATACATGTATGATAAACACAGGCTCTTCTTGGCTGTTGTACATGCATCCTGAAAGTAGGCTACACTACATTGCTTTTTCTAAACATGTTTAAGAGTAGAAAATGTGTCATGAAAGAGTGGTTACCCTGGAAGATAACATAGAATGATATTTACTGTAGCTATCTTCATTGCAGGATACAATTGAATACATTCTAAAAACGTTCATTAGTTTGAGCTGTGAGAAAAGAGAATAAATGTTTATAGATATTACTTTGAGATCATATAATCAAAAAGTACTTAAATATGATTGTTGCTAAATAAAATGACACATTCACATATATTATTACTTTATGTTAATTTAAGATAGGTTTACAGTAAATATCTATACAATATTATGTATAGAAATGCTAAAACATGATTGTTGTGGGCCTATGAGCAGGGCTATTGTTTTTGTTTTGGTGCAGTCTCCTGCTAATGGAGACAATAAGACTCCAGGAATAAACAAATGAGATTATCAATTGTTAATAAGTGAGCTTGAGAGGGGCTGTTAGGCTATAGCCCTATATCTACGTATATCAGTCACTCTTGACATTAAAACAAATAACAGAATATATCTAAATGTGTTGGCATGCAAACATGATACTGAACCTAAATTATCATCACATTGTTGATGTATGATATCTGTAATTTTCTTTTTCAACACCCAGCTTGCATGAATCACATACGTTCATTACTCGCTGTTAGCAGAGCTCTGCAGGGTGATGGGGTGAAGCACTGTGGGGGGTTCAAGGACCTGCTCTGCATCACGCCACTGCAGCTGCAACCATAAATCTAAACCACATAAGCAGCTCCTGTCACACGCATTTAATTATAAAACATAGAAACCATTACAAATCTTGAGAGACACTTATTAGACCAAACGTGAAACAACTGTATTCAACTTTTCTTTTTGCCAGTGCTCCTCTTTCTCTGCGAGGGCCTGAGTCGTGTGTGTTTGCGTAATCTTGGCCAATTCAAACAGTTTTGTTACGGTAAAGAATGGGGGATTAGTTTATGGAGCTTCAAAGCCAAATATAGAAAATACATGCGAAGGATTATAGAGACATCAAAGAATAAAGATTCTGAATATATTAGGGTGCAGTTTCGTCTTCCATCTCTTCTTATTTCTGGTCCTATCCATTGAAATAGGTAATGTGATGCAGAGAGCAGTGGAAGAGAACCGTGGAGAACATTGGCATCAAATTAATCTTCTTTGATTAATTTACAAGGCTGTTCTGTGGGTTTTGCACACACACAAATCACATATTGTGCTGGAAATTAAGCAGTGGATGCTTTTTCTCTCATTATGTGTGTTTTACATTATTTGTCATAAAATATAAATATATATGACTTGTTTCAGAATCATACATTCCAAAAATGTGAAAAATAGCTTTGAAGAGATAGCAGTACATTTAGGGTATGAGTCATCATCTTGTTTTCGGGTCAGGATATAATCACCCCCTGGAGGAATGAGAAGATGGGAAAGTTGTGTGTGTGTGTGTGAGAGCCTATGGTGAGAGCGCACATGTTGCTTTAGAAGTGTGGTAGCAAATCCGAAGAGGCAGACTGAATTGCTGACTTCACCGTGACTGCCAGAACCCGAGGGCAGCTGGAATGATTATATTTTAACACTCTTATGTAATTTGGATGCTGTCATTTTGACTATATGAAGCCCTAAATATAGGGATTATGCTGCAGTTTGGCAATTGCAATATTAAAATATCTTAAGGCTATCAGTACAGTTATGAAATACTTGTATTAAAGTGCTGTTGAGGAGTTGGCACGCGGGGAACAAATCATTTGGAGTGGATTTGAAAACTGTAAACATGCCTAAAGAGGAATGAAAGGTACTTATAAATAAGCTTAGGGGCACAGTGCAGACTAATTATATAAGAGTTGGTCTTAAAAGTTCCCCGGACGTGTGTTTGTGTGCACCACTCTTGTTTTTGATTGTTGTTGCTGGAGGCCAGTTCCCAGCAGATCTAGGAGGATTGTTACTTTATCCTTACAACTGGACGTTAATCTTGTGGCACGGCTTCTGGGGGAACGTAGCACTAACATCGCCGCCTGGTCCTCAGAACACCAACACACACAGAAACACACAGTTTGAAAGTCATAAACTCCTCTGTACACACAGAATGGGTTTATAGTTCATGCAATTATCTGTGATCCATTACATAAAAGTGATTTTTTTTGGGCTGTGCCGAGACTTTTTTTCGCATTCAGACAGAAACAATTGTTTGTTATCAATTGATGTCGGAGCTGTTGTCTATACGATCATACGTAAGCCTATAAAAACCCATGTCATGTGGTATGTTTCTGGAGTTGTGAAATATTTTACTTAAATGTGTTTGTGTTATATCGGGAAATACCTTGCTGGAGTTTAGACATGGCTGTCATTGGCAAACTGTTTGAATATGAGTCATAGTGTGGACGAGGATGAGGATTGAGAAAAACTGGAGTTTTCTCTGCAAGTGTACATGTTGAATCCTGCCAGGCTGAAACACTGCCAACAGCACTGACAGCTGCACTGGCACTGTGTGAAGTCATTTGGATGGATCGATTAAAGAAGTCCAACAGACACAGCTGTGAGAGGAAACTGAATTGAGTGGAGAGAAAGAGACACAACTTGGAGGTATAGATTCAAATTTGACAAGAAGACAGTATATATAGAGAGCGAGAGAAAGAGAGAGATTGTTATCATGGTTGTTACATGTTTTAACCATTTTGCAAGCTGTAATAACCTTGTACAGTGTGCTTTGGCTTTACTGTTTTTGTATACGGTCATGCCACTAAATCCTGTTTGAAATTATATTTCAGAGAGAGAAATTAAGAAAGCATAATGGATGTCTGACTTAGCCTTTCAGAGAAAGGATTTCCTCTTTTCAAGAAATCTGACTCAGCAGGACAGGGAAGTGAGCAGAGTGTAACTACATACAAACCAGAGAAAAGGAACTCCATCTTCTGCTAAACCATAATAGCCCCTGCATTAGTTACAACCTTTGACCTAACGGCGTTTTAACCCTCCTCTCTGTCATGGGAACAGTGCCCCCCTGTTTATGGCAGGTTAACAGATCTCAGATGTGGCCCCTAGCAGTCGGTGAGCGGTAGGTGTGCTGATCTCTAGAGCCCGATGTGGGAGTGCCGCTGGGCGGGGACACAAAGGCCTGTCGAGCCACTGATTGGTCTCTAATGTTCAATGGAGGCGGATCTAACCCAGCAATTTGCTCAAATGCATGTCAGTCGAAAGCGATCAATGCTGCTTTCAGGGACTCCTCGAAATATTGTGTTAGAGTTAGAGAGGTTAATTAAAAAAGATCACTTTGTTACTCGTTTATATTATCATTGTGCAGTGGTGGAATTGATCTTAGATACAAGTTACAACTACTGTTTTTCAGTGATAGTTCGAGCTACTTACTGGCAAACTGTATGTGTTTTTTTATGTTAATTTCACTCTATTTCGCATACAGAAACAAGTGGTGTCAGTACCCCATTAAAATAATGTGCTAGATATAAACTACTATTTGCCTACAGTTTTTATTATGGTATATTGGGCACCACACGTTCAGTTTATTTGTGAGGATGAGTAGGCTACAACTAAAAATATTAAAAATAGATGAATGTCTTTTGTGGTTTTGCATGGAGCTTTCCAAAGTTTAAAAATGATGATGTCATCAGGGCGATATTTTTCCTAATGTTGCACTTATGGTTTGAACTATGTGGGCATTGAGGATCTAATAACATATTATATCCAGTTGCATTATGTGAAATGTAGAGTCAAGAATTTGTGAATCTTGACCCATAGGGTTTTTCTTGGCCCTGATGCATCAGTTTTGTCAAGTGCTGTTTTAATATGTCCCCCAAATCTATTCCTGTGATATATAAAATTGATGGATAGGCCACCACTATACGTATAGGATTTGAATTCTCCTTGGGCTTTTTTTTTGCGTGCCCACATTGTACATGCTTCTGTTTTGGGGATGTGTTTGTATGTACACAAGCAGCAGAATTGCATCCATCGGTATCCATGGTAATGGTTTGAGAGTGGCTGAGTTCTGGGCGAAATAATCCTCCATAAAAACCCCTCTTTAATGGGGAGTTTGGGAGAGGCCTGAGAGAGCTGTGGATTCAAAATATCCGACAGCTCCTGAAGGCAGCATTACCCTTCAGTTTACGGTCTCAGCATGGATTCAACGTGATCGCGTCTCTCAGAGCAGCGGTGTGGTTTCTGAGGAGCGCTCAAATGCTTCACTCAAACGCATTTCAAACAGGATGTAGCGACTGAGACAAGACAGAGCAAGGAAAGACAAGGTTAAATTCTGCGATATGACAAACACCAGGGAGCCAGAAATGAGCGCCACGGCGGGGGAGAAGCAGGCAGCAGGAGTCCCGACGAGGCACCTCACCGCCAGCAGGTCTTGACGGCTGCTCCCGCTGACCTAAGACGACCAGCTCCCTCCGGTGCAAACACACAGAACACACAACATATCCGAAATACTGCACATCCCATCGGTGAACCTTGAAACCGATAATGGCGAGCCAGAATGACTGTAGTGTGAAGGTTGCTTTGAGGTAAGCCTCCGACGTCTGTCTGCTGCAAATGATTTGATCACATTGTATATGTGTCTCCTTATGGTCAATTAAATGCATGCTGCACAATAGTCTTATTGCACTACCTACTACACCCCTTATTTGTACAGCTACAGACAAGAGCACCTGGTTTTATAATCTACATGGGTGGTGCTCTTTACAGTATTGATAAGGAAACGCATGTGGCAGCACCACGCTATCTCCATATGATTGTTTTTATGTTGAGGGCATACGTTCTCCACAGCATTGGTCTGTTTTGTGCGAAGCAGAGGCTTGCATTCATCATTTACCATTGGGTGGAGTGACAAGGACAGCTGCAGCCAGGTGCAGGGAGGAGAATGGGCGTTTCTCCTCCAACACATTTTTGAATTATCATTCTCAGATGCAACTACCTACAGTATCACTTAATCACAAGTATAGTGAGCATATTGCATGTGTATGGCTCAGTTAGCTCCCTAAATAGGGTTGAAAAGCAGAGGCCTGTGGTGTTTTAAAAGAAAAAAAATCCTACCTCTGCAAATGAATCAGGCACAAAGACATGCTCTCCTTCAGAGCTGTGTCATTCATTGCCTTTGTTGGAAATGCACCCAGGAGCTTGGGCAGCAGAGCAGCTTTCCTGGATTTGAATCAGGAGATTTTAGCAGCCCATCGATTGTCTGTGCCAAGACCAAATGCAGATTGGGAGAGATCACATAAATGTGTCTGTGCTGGCACTCATGACTTAAATGGGATTGGGGCTAGGTTTGCAATCATGCTCATTTTGCAGTGTGCGGAGCTGAGGCGGTGGTCTTTGACTCACACCCTCTCAGAGCCGGTCATCAGCTAATGAATCCCAATTGGTCATAATGAGAGTTTTTTATAAGAAGATTAAGAGGAAATAGGCATCTTTACATCTTCTCTTGATGTGCAAATGTGAAGCAACTAATACAAAGTAACAGCAAAATGTTACTATTCTTCAGCATGGACTCTACTGAGGTCTCCAACCTCATTTTGGGAACCATTGATTGAGCCTAGTGGGGGTTGAGGATGGGGGTCGGCCAAGTAGAGGAGCCTTTTAAGTCGAACCTTACAACCGATGGCCCCATTTCCCCTGGGGAGGTTTCAGAGTGACTTGTCAATCAATCGCTGAGTGGATCTTCTTTTGTGCTTGTTCACAGCAACTGTAACAGGAAGTGTTGGGTGGGTGGTGTTTGCCAAAAAGGCGAAGAGAGAAGGTGAAAAGAGAAGCCGCTTAGACAGCTGGTGGCTGCTGCTCTGCTGAAGTTATTGATTGAAGTCTGGAGAGAAGAGGCTTCTTGTAATAGTGTTACTGAACAAGAGAAGGTGACAGAGCTCGCTACATGCACTCGACACATGCGCCCTTGTGTTAAGCTGTGTCCATCTTTTTTCGGTGATGCAATGTTGACATGATCATCAGCATTTAAGCATATTGTCAAACTTTGCAAAAGATCAAATCAACACAAAGGGGATTACAATCACAGCTTTAATTAAGTTGTATTAGCAAAAACGTCACTTTGTAATTAAACAGTTTGTGTAATTGTATGACTATGCTGGTGGGCGAGCTAGTGCCGGTCCTTTTCATCATGTAGGATCTATGTGTGTATTTACACGGCCTTTGAGTGCCACCAAAGCGTTTGTGTGTTTGACAGGAAATGGGAAGGCCACAAATAAACACAAGGAGAAGGATAATTTCCTGTCGTATAAGCGATGGTTTTCCCAATGACAGCCAAGCGTCTTTTTCTTTCTTTCCCTGAGAAAGTCGGCTGCTGATAAGAGAGGAGGGTGTTTAATTGCTCCCATGTTGTGCAGCCCTTGAGCAGGCTGCATTAAGCTTGGGTCTCATGCATGTGTGTGTATATGTTTTGGAGGGCAATGAGGTTGTCTCGAGGGCCAACTGAAACACACACACACACACACACACACACACACACACACACACACACACACACACACACACACACACACACACACACACACACAGTCTGAGTCGCCAGCATCCATTTCCTGAATGTCTGCACTGCCTTCCCTAAACAATGGCCATATAACCAGTGACATGACCTACAGCCCTGCATACAGACTTGACAGTCTGAGGAATGGATGTTGATGTGAAGCACACACACACACACACACACACACACACACACACACACACACACACACACACACACACACACACACACACACACACACACACACACGCGCACGCTTAGGCAATGGTGGTTCTGCAGTGCATTCGAGTTAAACATGACGGGGCGCATGTAATGTTACTTCCTACTAAGCTGCCGTCGTTAAATTGCTTCTGGCTTGGCTGTTTCATCTTCATACAGCTGCCTTCACTTAAGAGAAAAGTCTGATGCAAATGTTCTATAAGACTAACACTTCCTGAGTCTCACCCATCTGAACCCCCACACACTCATATTCACTCACAGCAACGGTTCCTCCTCATCTCGTTGATCTTGAGTGCTGCATTTCCTCCTGATTGAAGGTTTTATGTTATGGCTGGCTCTTTGTGTGCATGTGCTGCTATAAATGTCAATAATTCTACTTTTGTGAGTACGCATGTATGTTGGGTGTAACTTGACATGAGAGTTACGAGCAGTGTGTTAATTACCTTCAGCATATCGATCTCACTCTCTCTTGCAGTTTCTCTTTCTGTAGCTCTGCCAACATACTCATCTCAGATCAGAGAGCGACGCTGGTCTTCCACCAAAGTGCTAAGTCAGCCTCAATAGCTGTGTAAAAATAGACTCAAAGGCAAATCTGTTTAGTGCTGTGGTATTTTAACCCTGTGACTAGTGCTTGATGTTCTCACCTTAACAGACTCTTTCTCGAGGCTTTTTGTGGAAGAGAAACTTGAGGAATCACAAATAAATGACTGTTTTATGCATTTGTGGTTCAAGGTACTGATGCTCAAAGAAAAACATGATCTTCTGCAAATTGAACACAAATGATCCTGTGTTCTTCCGCAGCCTACAGGTGGATGACCGGGGTTTTGTGGACAGTTATGAGTTATGACGCAGAGAGTTATGGCCTAAAGCCCCTTAAATAGGAGCTCAGCTGAGGAAAAATATTAGCTTTTATCTCTCTGCTCTTCTGCTGACGTGTCCAAAAATAGTACTTTTCAGAAACGCAAATGTTTGTCCGTAAGTCCATAAAACTACAGACTGTTTCCTCCCCATGACCAAAACACATTTGTTTCAAAACAAAACAGGAGTACAAATGCGGAAGAGGCCCCTCACAGCTGATACACAAAGGCTTTAAATGTGAGTTTTTTTGTTTTAGGACGTTTCCTGTGTAGGCTAGTCTCGCCTGTTTCCTGTGTGTGATAACAGTTCACCCCACATCACGTACTCTGTCTGGGTTACACACCTCCCCAGGGGGTTCCCTTTACAAATGGCTTGACTCTGGTGGGAAATGTGTTTTTGTGTGTGAGACTATTAGCCAGTATGTACTAGTCACAGGGTAGTGTTGCAATGTAATCTCCTCATGAGTGCATTCCTACATTTAGGCTCAACATTTATCCCCCCAATGACCAGCTTGCTGCAGATTTACAGCCACCGGCCAGCAAGAGTGAAAGCGCTTGTGCTTTGATGATGGGAGTCGCCACTGAAGTTGTTTTTTATTGAGCGATTTGGTCTCCAACGAGGGAAGAGGAGCAGGAAACATGACGGAGCACACACCCAGGCTGGCCTTCCACAGCTGGGCATCACTTCCTCCTCACGCTGGCCTGCTGGTCACATGTTGTCTGTTGTTGTCCTTTTAGACCTACCAGTTCTGTATGAATGTTCTTTGTGACAAGAGTGCTAAAGACGCTGCCTGACGCCTGTCTATAATAGCTTAGCATTGAGTGAACAGTGTATGCTCTAAGCAGAAAGAAAGAGGAAAAAGAAATCCACTGACATAAGACCTGAAAGGTGACAGGAACATCATGTTACTTTAAACCAAAGAACACAGTGATGCGTGGAAGGCAACAATCAGAGCATTTCGTGACAGTAATCGGCTTGAAAAGAATAGTACTGGGTGTTTTGTTCCTCGCCTAGAGTGACTGTTACATAATGTGCAGCTCAGAGGCTTTACCAGCAGATTGATGACGAGGAGGTGAAAAAGCTATTTAAGACAAAGTAACCAAGGTTGCAGAGCAAAAATCCTAGTTTTTCAATCAATTTTTCCACAATAACACAACTCCTCTTATACACACCTGATGACAGCTGTTGAACGGAGCAATTTGAATGTTTTTCTGGAAGAGCTGACTGTCAGGGAGGCGTTGCTTGTGTATATATCCCAGGGCGAAATGTATTGTGTACTTAATCAATAAATCAGAAACATTTCAGACCTGGCACAGACTTTAAAATGAGTTGAGTAACTGCTGATGAACTTGTCCCTATTAAGTGCATCAGCACTCCCTGATGGTTTGCGGCTGTTGCAGAATGACTTCCTGTGAAGGTGCTGCTGGACTATCCACACTTCCTGTTCACTTCCTGCTTGAAATGCTGATGAGCCTGTTGATGCAGTTCAGTTAAGATTTCATCATCACTGAGTGAGAGCATAAAGCTGAGAGAAAAGAAGGTGGAAGTTAACCCCTAAGTAGAGATGTCCCGATTCGATCACGTGATCGGGGATCGGAGCCGATCACGTGATTTTCAAAAGATCGGAATCGGGAGAAAAAAATCGGGGATCGGGATTTTTTTTTTTTTTTTTTAATACTTTTTTAAAAATTTTGTATTCAATGTTACAAAACAAAAATGACCATGTTCAAGTCTTAAAGTCAACCTGAGGCCTTAGTTTTGGTTTCAAATGACAGAACATCATGTATGTGTTGCTTCTTTGGGGCTTGTTTTCATAGACCTGGTTGCTTATTTCGCTCAAATTTGGCAACAGAGTGGGCAGGGCGCAGTGTCTAATTGTAGCAGTAAGCTAACGAGTACTGAAAGCTTTATTTTGTTTTGATCCAATGCTGCACAACTGAACTGATCCAATGCTGC